CGGGCCCATGCAGGGGGAGCAGGGCCCGCAGATCACGGGCTGCCCGGGACTCGCTTGGGACAACCCAGGACGGCCCGAGGCCTGCCCAGGTACGGCCTGGAGGAGGGACACCGGCCACCCCTCCCGCCTCGGCTGGCACTGGAACAAGCTTGGGAGTGAGCTTCCAGCAGCCACTGGGCCGGAGGTGGCAGGCCAGGCCCACTCTAGAGCAGAGTCCGCTTGGGCCCCTCCTCCCTCCGTCGCCCTCAGGGCTCTCTCTATCCAGGGAAGCTGCTTGGCTGGCCCTCCCCCCGAGTGTCAGCCCACTGCCCCGGGGTCTCAACAACAGCCATCAACTCTCCAGTAGGTGCCTGGACCGCCCCCACCCCCACCCAGACGGCACAGAGCTTAGCCAACAAAGGACCCTTTGTGGTGCGCTCCTGCTTGTCCCATTCTGGGGGGCCGGAGGTACGTCAGGTCAGGGGGCTCCTCTCCAGACACACGGGGGGCACTCTGACACCCCAGGCAGAAGGGGCCCGGGGGGCCTGCAGCCCCCACCCAGCAAAGCCCCCCAAGCAGCAGGCGGGCACCGCGGCCCCCAGACAGGGCATCTTGGGGTGACGGGGCGGGAGGTCAGTGACAGGCAAACAGACGGCCTTTCCAGCAGTGCTTCAAGAACAAGCAACCAGCCACACTGCTGTGTTGTTCATCACCGCAAGGACAGCGTTTCTGGGCCCCGGGGCAGCCCTCCCTCGCACGCAGCCACGAGCCCAGCCCCAGGAAGGCCCAGGCCAGACCCGGGGTGTGCGGCTCCTCCCAGCCACCTGAGCAGGACAGGCCTGGGGACGGCCTAGGGAGGCCAGCCCCTCCCTGTGCCCTCCAGGAGGCCCGGGGATGGCTAACCCCGTGGGTGCCTGCTCCCATGAATGGAAGAGGCTGACCTAGAACACCACAGCCCAAGGTCAAGGATCAAGCAGCCTCGGGGAAAAGGAACAACATGTTCACACGTGTTCGTATATCCCAGGGCCGACAAGGGACGTGGGAAAGGCTTCCCAAGGACAGACACCAAACCAAGCTCAGGACCAAGACGCCCACCTTGGGACCCTGCAGGATCCCAAGCCGCTGGACACCCAGAGGGGAAAGAGGCCAGCCAGCTCCTCAGGGGCTCTGGCGGAGGCAGGACGGGGGGGTCAGCGGGCGAACCTGGCCCGCCCACATTAGCCAACAACCTGCAAACGTTGCCCCCGGGGCCACCTCGCCTGCCCCAGGAACTGGCGAGTGCCCCGTCCCCGCAGGGGTGGTCCAGATGCACGGGGTGAGGGTCCCGAGGCGTCGAGGCTCAGGCGTGCAGGGCGTCTGCATCCACCTCGGGCTCTAACCAATTCCCTCGTGAGGGTTCTTGGAAATCAGTGACTGTAATGTAATCACAGCTGCTGGGGCTCTGAACAAGCCCGCTCAGTGGCTCCGTTCGGTTATAATTATTACGAAAGCACAGTTAAGAAACAGCGAGGAGAAACGGAAACCTTCAGGAATACCCAACAGCCGGTGGAGGGGCGGCCCCACCTTGTGGCCATGCCCTCACCGGCCACCCCACCACCCCGCCCAGGACGAGGACACCCGGCCCCTTCCTGCTGGCCCCTCGTGGAGCCATCCCACCCCACCCTGACCCAGCTATAGCCACCTGGATATACCCCGTCCAGGCAACGGGGAGCGCCAGGGCGGGGCAGGGCTGCGAGGGCAGCTGGCGACCCCCTTGCCCAGGGGCCCTGCTGTCTTCACCCCAGCCCACCTGGAGCGGCCTCCTGGCACCCCCCCAAGACCATCAGCGGGGGGGGGGGGGGGGGGGGGCAGTTATCCCTACACCCCGCTCAGCTCTTGGACCCAACCCCTCTGGGCCTCATTTCCCTTCCACAAATGGAGGGGAGAATCAGATACTCTCCAGAGACCGTGGGTCCCGGCGTGACCCGCCAGCAGCTCAAAGCAAAACCATGACTGCCCAGCACCCCTGCAGGCAGGGGGAGGGGAGAGGAGGGGCTTCTCCTAAAGGGGCCACAGGGGTCCGACACAAGGGGGGCAGCCGGGAGTGCTGTCCCAAGCCTCGGCCTCGCGGCCTGGAGCTGGTGGCTGAACCTCTCGGGCACAGTTCACCGGCTTCCTCCCGGTGCCCGCGGAAAGTACAGCGGCCTGACCCCTGGGGAAGGCTGACCCGCGAGCCTTCTGCCTGGGGGCGCCCTGAGTCACCCCAAACAAAACAGGAGCCAAGGAGAGGCCCCCCATGCGCCCCAGGCGGTGCCTCCCTCTCTGCAGGGTGACCCCCTCCTGGGGCCGCGGGTGGGAAGGCCTGGGCCTCCTGGACCCCCAGACACAGGCCCACAGTGCTCACTGCCCCTCAGCGGCCGGCGGGCCACTGCAGAGCCCGGGCCCCCACCCTTCTCCCCCTTGGGTGGGGCTGGCTCGCAGGGGTGTTTGCTTCCTTCTCCCCACAAAGAAAACCACGCATTTTCCAAGAGCGGCTGGTTTTCTCTTGCTAACGGTACCCTCACCCTCACGGATGGCCCACTTTACCACTAGGGTTTTGTGCTGACTGCCTCAATCCCATCAAGTTTTGGAGCAAGAGGAATGATCCTGTGTTTTCCAGCTGCAGTGACTCGGGCCCCATCTGACCCATGCAGACACGACAGCGATCATGCCCATCTCCTCTGTCCCCACGAGTGTGCGGGCCTGGCCCTGGGCTGGAACCCCCCCCCCCGCCCCCGCCCCGCAACACTCCTCTGCTCCGAGATGGAGCCACCCCGGGCGGGAGGTCAGAGGACCAGGGGCCCTACCCCAGCCCAGGGGACAAAGGGACATGTCCCTGCTCGGGGGGCCGGCTCTGCTGTTCCTTCCAAGGCCAGGGCTGGCAGAAGGCGGGGGCAGCAGTCGTGCAGAACGGGGAGCGGGGCCTTCACTCCTGTACTGGCTGAGGGTCCCCCCAAACCACATCCCCCCAAATCCCACCTCACAATGGGATCTCAGCCGAAACCAGCAGCAGATGCCAGGTTAAGAAGAGGCCTTACTGGGTTGAGGGTGAGCTCTATACCCAACAGCTGGTGTCCTTCTGAAAAGCAGGCGTGGACACATGGGACACACAGAGAGACAGGAGGGATGTGGTCGTGAGCTGAGGATGCCCGCAGCGGCCAGAGGCTGGGAGGGAGCACGGCCCAGTGACAGTCTGACCTCCGGACCCAGGTGGACACAGAGTCCTGCTGTTTGGACGCCCCCCACCCCAAGCTCGTGGGCCTCTGTTCAGCAGCATCAGGACCTGCACACACCCGCCCCACCGACATCGACCTTGACCCCGGCTCGGAAGCAACGGGAAGCCACTGGTTTTCCGACTTGGACAATGTCTGCCAAGAACGAGGGCGGCCAGGCGTGCTCTGAGTCCGGGACGCCTCCTCACTGCCCGCCACAGCCCGCCAGCTCAGAGCTGCCAGACTTGGGGCCCCGAGGGGCCTGGCCGCTCACCCGCCTCCGGGAGCAGCTGGTCCCGACAGGACCACAGCGTCACCCACTCCGGCCCCCCTGGGCCTGAGACCCAAACCCCCCACTGCACACAGGGTCCCGTGTGGCCCATCACTCCCCCCGGAGACACACGGACAGACCCGGGCTGGGAGGCGTTGCGCGAACCTGGCCTGCGTTCCAGAGTCAAGGGCACAGGAGCCAGAGAAAGACCACAGAAGCTTCCAGACTAAGGGAGCCTAAAAGACACAGTAAGACTGAAACACACGGGGCGCCCCGGTGGCTCAGTGGCTTACGCGTCCGACTTCGGCTCAGGTCACGATCTCGCGGTCCGTGGGTTCGAGCCCCGCGTCGGGCTCTGCGCCGGCAGCTCAGAGCCTGGAGCCTGCTTCCGACTCTGTGTCTCCCTCTCGCTCTGCCCCTGGCCCTGACTCTCTCAGGAACAAACAAACATTAAAACAAATTAAAAAAAAAAAACTCAACCACATAGCAGCATACCTACGCTCACAGCAGCATTATTCACAAAGCCAAAAAGTGGAAACAATCCAAGTATCCATCGACAGGCAAACGGAGAAGCAGGCGTGGTCGACCCGGCATGGACCCCCCTCAGCCGTAGCTGCGACGCGGATGCACCCGGAGGACACGCGCTCAGTGAGAACGGCCAGACGCCAGGGACGAACGCCGTAGGATCCGCTCACCTGCGACCCTGGGGCGGCCGGACCCACGGACACAGAGAGGGGAGCTGGGGGCCGGGGGCTCCTATCTGCCCGACGAGCGGTCCCGGGACGGAGGGCGGCCACTCGCGGGGCGCCCCTGAACCGCACGCGTCAAACGCTCGGATGGTGGACGTGATGCTCTGTGTCGTTCACCACAGTAAAGGAGGGAGGGGGGAAGGAAACTCCAGACGCGGGGAGGAGGCGGGGGGAGGGGAGGGGACCGGTGGGACGGGGCAGGGGAGGGAGGCTGGGGGGGTGGTCTGTGTGTAACGGGGCAGAGTCCAGTCTGGGAAGACGGACGCGTTCTGGGGACGGACGGAGGGGGAGGGGAGGGGACCGGTGGGACGGGGCAGGGGAGGGAGCCTGGGGGTGGTGGTCTGTGCGTAACGGGGCAGAGTCCAGTCTGCGAAGACGGACGCGTTCTGGGGACGGACGGAGGGGGAGGGGGAGGGGGCGGCTGCCCGACAGCCTGAATGCACCTGACGCCCCTGAACTGTGCCCTTAAACTGGTTAAGATGGTAAGCTTTATATATACGGTAACTAGGATTTAAAAAAAAATTTTTTTTTAATGTTTTTATTTATTTTTGAGAAAGAGACAGAGTGTGAGCGGGCAAGGGGGCAGAGAGAGAGGGAGACACAGAATCCGAAGAAGGCTCCAGGCTCCGAGCTGTCAGCACAGAGCCCGACGCGGGGCTCGAACCCACAAACGGCGAGATCATGGCCTGAGCCGAAGCCGGACGCTCAACTGACTGAGCCCCCCAGGCGCCCCTAGGGTTTTTTAAATTAAAACTTTAGGGATGCCTGGGAGGTTCAGTCGGTCGAGTATCCAACTCTTGGTTTCAGCTCAGGTCATGATCTTGAGGTTCGTGGGTTCGAGCCCCACGTCGGGCTCTGCGGGTCGGCCCCAAGCCCAGCCAGTAAAAACCTTCAGAAATGAGTCTCTGAATGTGGCCAGGACCCTCCAGGACCCTCTGAGCTGCAGCACGCCCAGCAGCTGGGGGAGGGGGAGGCAGAGGAGTGCCCCCAAACACCCCAGGGGCCTCCCAAGCAGAACTCGGGCCTATTCCCAAGGATGCTCGGTGGAGGGGACTTCCCATTTTCCTGGGTTATGGAGAACCTGACAAGGGACCCAGAGCAAAACCACGGGCCAGCCTCCCACAACCTTGGGGCCCTCACTGCTGTGGTCCAGCCTGGCCCAGGTCGGTCTGCGTGGCTTGGAGCGGTGTGGGGAGAGACCAGGGACCCTGCTCCTCCGCCAAGAAGCACCTGAGGCCCCCATCACAGGTCTCCAGAGCCAGCCGCCTGCTTCTCGGGGTCCCGAGGCCAGCGGGGCCCCTCAAGATCCGGGCTCGTGTGGTCCCGAAGGACAGCACAGCCTCTCGGCTCCCGTGGCCCGCAGCCGGGACGCTGTGGCCCTCCCGCCTCCTCCGCTGCATCATTTCCCTTCATCAGCTTACTTTCCTTCTAGGGGGAGGAAGGAGGAGGCTCCAGGGGCCCGAGTCTGCCCTAAGGTTTGGGATCCAGCACACGGCCAGGCCCAGCCCCGAGGGCTCCTCTGGACGACACGCCTTTCCTTCCCTGGCCCTTCACATGACAGGGGCTGGCCAACTAAACTGGGTTACAACAATTAACACAAATTCTGCCGCCTGTCCCAAAACTTACATAACCGCAGACACTGTGCCTCAGGAAACTTCCTCCGCCCATGGCCCCATTTCCTGCCCTCGACCCCGGGCTTTGGTCCTGGAAACAAAGCTGCTTCTAGATTCCCCAGCTGGTACCGGCCCTCCAGCCCTGCCAGCCAGTACTCGTCGGGGCAGCAGCCTCTGTCTGTGTGTCTGGCTGCCCACCCTCCCAGGCCAGCACAGGGCCAGCCCCCCACTTCCCAAACAGCACCCCCTCCCCTCCGGCACCAAGGGGTTTCTGTGACCTCCACACACCGGACAGCGTCCCCCCAGATTCACGTCCACCCAGGACCTCAGAACGGGACCTTACTTGGAGTCTGGGTCTTTGCAGATGTGATCGGTTAAGGACAGAGATGAGACCGCCCTGGGTTGAGGGCGGGCCCCGCACCCCGTGACGGGTGTCCTCGTAAGAAGAGGGAAATTTGAACACAGACACAGAGAGGGAGGGCGGCCATGTGACAGCCGAGGCAGAGGTGGCAGGGACGGGTCTACAAGCCAAGGGACGCCAAAGACCTCCGGCACCACCAGACGCTGGGAGAGGCCAGGTTCTCCCCTGGAGCCTCCAGAAGGGGCCAGGCCTGCCACCTCCTTGACTTTGGACCTGCGGCCTCAGAACGGCGGAGGGGATACATTTCTGTCCTTCGAAGCCACCAGCTTTACGGTCACTTGTTGCCTGGGCTCCCACCGCCCGCGCCCTCCCTGCCTGTTGGCAAATATCACTGCCCTCCCGGGGCGGACAGACCCCATGGGGCGCCCCAGAGCAGCAGTCACAGAACGGAGGGGGGCACCACAGAGGGGAAGGAGCTTGGCAGGGAACAGAGCAGCACTGCCTCATCACGGCCGGGTCACGGCACGCACCAGCACACCGGGGACGGCCCCCACCCCCCAGCGAGCGCGTCTGTGCGTGGAGCCTACGAGGCACCTTTCCGGGGCCATCTCGGTGACCAGAGAGTGGGCGGTGCCCCACTTCCGTTTCTCCTTCAAAGCTCTTCTCACTTGTGGGGAAACTGAGGCCCAGGGAGGCCACGGTAGCACAGCACACAGTAAGGAACAGCACTCAAAAATCCCGAGATGAGACTCGCTCCGAACCTGGATTCTGCAGAAAGTGGCCGCTCGGCTGAGAACGGCCCCGAGTGGCCCCGAATCGTGGGCCACCCGGATCGTGGGGATGGTCACGGTCCCGTCCAGTCCCAGCGGCCCCCAAAACCCTGTCCTCTTCCTGCCTGTGTGGCCCTGAGGGGGAGAGAGCCTCCCATCCACACGGGGGGACGTGCGCTCGGTCCCAGGCTCCTTGGCCCTGCCCATATGTGACCACGTCCACGGGAAATGCAGGAGACCCGAGGTCCCCGGGGCGCCACCAGCTTCCACGGTTGCCAGGCAGACCCTACTTCTGGGGACCCGTAAATGGGCTCTTCTGCCATGGGGGGTCACGGATCTGTACGCCACACTGGCCCTGCCCAACTTCTTCTAGACGGTGGGAGAGAGAGGACGTTGGGAAGGGATCACAAAGCCATGAAACTAGAGGCCCCCCGCCCCCCCGTCAGGACCAGCTGGGGGCTGGTGGCGGAGGGAGCCGTCCTCAGACTCTGGCCACCTCGCAGAGCCACAGGCTGGCCACATGTCCCTCGAGGCCGCCCCAAGCCCCTCCTGCGAGCTGCAAAGCCGGTCAGGGTGACGGCCTAGAGCAGCCGGAGGCGGGGCCGGGTCTGTGACCTCAGTCCCTTCCTCGGGGACTCACCCGAACCCCAGAGGCCACCGCAGCAAACACCACCGGCTACCTGTAGTGGACGGGGACCTCAGGGAGGGCCCGGCCCCGGCACGGAGGCAACGCGAGCTCAGCAAACCTCACGGAGCCCAGCAGCAGCTTGGACGAGAGCCACGCCAAAGCCTCCACCGCGTCCACTCTGCCCCCGGCTCCCCGGGTCCCTCAGCGTCCCCACCCCCGCCACCCCCATGTGCCCCACGCCCATCCTGGGAGAAGGTTCCCGGAGGAGCCAGCGGGCAATTTGCATAATATTCTTTGCAAGTTAATATCAGCCTCTGATAATGATCTCGGCATAGCGTGGAGCGCTGAGGCGGCTGTTACAACACTAAGTAATCATATTTTAAATTATGTTTCCCTTTATAGCAAGGTGTTGCAAAAACACACAGACATGAAATCTGTCTGTAGCAGCCCCACTGCCAAGCACCTGACCAGCTTCCCAGTGGCGGCTGTGACTGCAGCACCGGGGCCCGGGAAGCCCAGACACCAGGGGCCACACGTCACCCCCGGGGCCCCAGCCCCAGCGTCACCGGGGCCAGGGGGCCCTTCCCGGCAGGGGCGCGTCTACACGGGGACGTTCACGGGGCACCTACCGCCCACTCTTGCCGGGGGTCTCGACTGCCCTGGCAGTCTCTCCCTTCCCGCCCTCCCCGGCCCCGGCCTCACGCTGGAGACCCCAGTGCCCCGGCGGGGGGCAGACTTCGTGGGATCCCAGGCAATACACAAGCCTAAGAACTCAAACGTCTAGGCTTTGGTGCCACAGGCCCTTCTAAGGTTGCGGCCTGGCCGGGGTCACCCGTCACCCCTCACCCAGCGTGCGGGCAGGTGGGCTTGTCCTAGACTGTCGCACCTCCGTACCCCAGATGCAGCCCATGGTGCCTCCGACAGCCCGGCGGGGGGGGGGGGGGGCGAACGTCATGGGCGACCCGGTGCCTGGGGGTGGGGAAGGCGAGGGCCCGAACAGACGCGGCCCCTGGGGCAGCCGTGGGGGGGGCGCCGGGAGCCGCAGGGGCCTCCGCCCAGCTCAGAAGGGGAGCCCCACAGAAGAGGCCACGTGCCCCCTGCTCTCCTCTCCTTTCATCTGGGAGCGAGGGCCACCACTCAACCTTTATTTTCTTAAAAGCTTTTTTTTTTCTTTTTTATTAAAAAAAATCCAATTATAGCACAAATCTCTCAGCAGGGGTCAGTGTGAAATAAGAATGGCCAGAGTTAATGGACGTGACACAGGCAAGATTAATGCCTAAAGGGCTTCGTAAGTTGTATGATGCAGATTTCATTAACATTTTAATTGTAATGTATCTTTTTAATCTTCCCTCTCTAATGGCTTCATATCCAAAAACAGGGAAGAAAAAACTGCTGACGACAACAAAAAGTATCAATATACAAAATTTAACAAAGGCGCTTAGCAGCGCGATGGAAACTAAATTAAATGAGCAAAACTACGTTCACATTGTGATTTTTCTAACGGCACAAAAGTCAGGAATGCGGCAAAGGCGGTTACTTCTCCCTTCCTGGCACAGAGACAGCGATGGGGCAAAAACAGGAGACAGCGGGGCAGCAGCCGCGGGCGCAGGTACTGCTGAGACCCGGACTCTTCTGCTCCTGACCCGCAGGCTGGGGCAGCACCCACAGTCCAGACTGCCAGCCGCGTCCGGGAGCCGGAGGGACGGAGGAGGGACGCGCCGTCCAGAGGACACCAGCCATCAGAGCGGAAGGCCCCCGGTGATGTGCGGAAGTGGAGGGGGCATCTAGGGACGTCACCGTAACGCGGCGGGCATTTTGCGGGGCAAAGGCTGGGGTGGCGGATAAGCGGGCATCCGGCCTCCAACACCCACAGCGAGGGACCCGGGCAGTCCTGGCCAGCCAGCTCCAGCTCTCAAAGAGAGTGAGCGTTTCCACAAATACACCTGGTTCTGACTACCGAGGGCTCTGCAGATTTTTATTTTCAATCAACAAACACTCAGAGTCCCAAGCCTGTTGCCTGTTGTTCTATCTGACGGTTTGCGCCCCCCTCCCCGACGTGCCTTTTCTCTGCAACAGCCCCCACACCGTGCCTCCCTCGGGGACCTGCTGGCTGGGCCTGGGGGCCGGCCAGTCCGGGGCCCGGGACACAGTGCTGCAGTCGTGCTGATTGCTCAAACCCAGTGACTATATATGGGCACTTTCAGGCCTCTGCGGTCTCCGCCCCCGACCTGCCCGCTTCCCAGGCACACAGGCAGGCGCTAGGCGGGGCCCATCCATGGCCATGTGCCCTCCTGGATGCCAGGGCCCAGGGCCGAGGGGGAGGGGGAGATTCCTTCAGAGACCCAGAGCCAGCCTCTCCTCCCCCCCTGGGACCAGAGAACAACGCCTCGCCTCGGAGGAAAGTATGTCTGTGCCCTCCCTGGAGACTGAGAAGCAGCCTCCCCTTAAAGGGCCATGTGCTTCTCACTGGCTGCGGCCCACTCACAGGGAGGGGGCATCCCGGGAGGGCCTCCAGGCTGGGCCCAACCTGCACAGAGGCCCCAGGCCGGCCCGCTCACCTTCAGCCTCCAAGCAAACAAGGAAGCTACCACTCAGCATTGGAACTCACAGGCCAGGGTGGGGGCTCAGAGAGGGCGAGTTACGCATCCAAGGTCACACAGCTCCAGGCGGGATGAGACCTGGGAGAGACCCCGGAGTTCGTGCTCACAACCGCCCCCCCTTCCTGAACCCAGGCCAGGGAGGGGCCCGGAGAGCCCGGGGTCACGGTCAGAGCCCCTCCATCCATTCCCCCCGCGCAGATGTGCTCCCGCCGCCCTTGTCCTCAAGGGCACTGCCCCACTCTGAAGATGCTAACCACAGAGGCGGCCACCAGGGAGCCCCACTCCAAAGTTCACGTCCCAAACATCAACGGCTGCCACTTCCAGCCACCTCTGTGTCCGCCCCCTCCCCCCCCACGGGCCGCCAGGCCCTCGCCCACGGGGCCCACTTCCAGAACCCAGCACGTGAAAGGCCGGAGGCCACCGTGGAGGAGGAGGCCCAGCTCCCAGCAAGCAGCAGCTGCACGTGGCATAGGAGGGAGCCGTGGGCAGCCCGGAACCAGTCTCCACAGAGCCCGAGGCCAGGCCTGGTGAGAGCAAGCACT